ACTCCAAGGATGTATTATGCATGAGACAACACTTTTACAAAATTATAGAAGGCAATAGACTGTTGACTTTTCCAAGGCGAGAAAAAATTATTCTTAAAAAAAACTTCGAATAAATATCTTCGAGAGAAAAGATGCCTTGATGCAATGTTTACAAAAGTCGGGGAGACGAAAAAGAATATATTGGTTGCGTTCTCACGGGAATGGGCGATGGAGAAGCCCATTCTATATTCTCTTTTATATAATATTGTCGTGATATATTTTATTAATATTTGTAAATTTATATGTATCATGTTAAATTATACAAATATATAAATGATTATATAATATGGCTAAGAGTTTGCATGATATACTTTTTATTAGTCTTTTACTTATATCGATTCGAAAAACGAATCGTACCGAAGAACAAATACGTATAAATTATACGTATAATTTACATGAAACAACTTTTGTAAATATATTATTTGCATGTTGAATACATACAAATTCCTCTGAGAATGCATGCACCGAAAGAAACACAGTGAAAACAGTGTGAACCATATTATGGAATTGTATTCTAGATATGTGTGCGGCAAAAATAGATATCTATGTACTGTTAAATCGTTTGTATACTTGTACAGGATGATAAAACACTAAAACTTCAAGATATCGTGTCTCAACACATAGAATACAATGTAAAAGGCTTTCTACTTTTCACTGCGATTTGTATGTGTGTTCTAAATGGTTACTTTATATATACTATATATACTATATTTCGATATGCATTGCGAATATTGAAGATCTATAATATATATTATGTATACTATATGTTTTCATAATGGGTGCATTCAATAGAGAAAACCGCTCAGTGAGCGGTTAGTGACTATTGGTCCTTACTGTTCCTTACACTCAGACCAATAACGTTGACGAATTACTCAACAGTTGCGCAACTGTTGAGTGTTGTGAACGCACCCAATATATATTTTCGCAATATACATTGGAATGTGTCTTTATGTACATATCGATAAATGTCGATAACGGAACTGTAAGTGTCGGTAATATCGACATTATTATTTCCGCTCAGATGAGGGCGCAATCGCGTTGGAGTTCGGTCGCCGCTCCAGGATCCCCTTAAGTATAATAAAATATATTAGGTGTTTTTTGTAGAACTCTTTCTCTACATATTTACAGTTATCATCTATGCTGAAGTGAAGCCAAATTTACCGACAACAGATAATTAAAGATCGAAATTATTCGTATATGCTAAATCTTGTGAGGCTGATAGTTTTCATTCTTCTTTTATTGATGGCGCCACATATCCAATTTGACAAGTTTGTTCTACTTGATAGATTAACCCCTTGTCCTACAACAAGAAGTGAGACTCGTGGTAAGAAATTTGGACCAAAAACAATAAGCACGAGCCTGGTTCGTGGTACTTTGTTCGGGACAAACTAAACAACACGAGTCAGACTCGTGATTCAGTTGTTCTCGATATTTTCTTAGTTTAGTTACGTGCAATTCTTCGTTACGTTCACACGTTTAGGTTATAATTCCCTAAAATAATTAAATAACCCTTATACCTATCATGTCAGTAAAAAGAAAATCTAATATCGATGATAATTCCTTTCGTTGCGCCGAAATATATGTCATAAGACACATACATTTTGCGCAAGTTCGAGCACACGGCTAAACAGTTAAATGGCTCGACGCGTGCGGCGTGACCGACCTTCTTGTTTATTGTGGCCCGAGCAATCAGGAGTTAGCGGGTAGGACAAGAGGTTAATATCATTGCAAAATTTTGTAACATCAGAAAAATAATACGGTTAATAGATTGTTGCACAAATAAAATAGACTCAAGTGGGTCGACAAAGTTAAAAACAACAGATGGGGTTAAAACAAACATATCTGCTGACGCACGATCATTTCTATTTACAATAAGATTTCTACATTATTAAATAATTATCGCAATGATGACATATAGTATAATATTATTAGCATAATAATAACTATAACCATAATAATAATTATTAACAATATTAACAATATTAATATTAATAATAATATTATTAACAATATTAATAATATTAAAATTACTAACATCCTTCAGTTGTCAAAATCGGTACCAGATGCCTAAGGCTTGCGGACAACGAACGCTGCCACAATCCTTGTGGCTCGCACACAACAATATCTATACAAATTTCTTGTTACCCATAAAATTAAATATTCTTGCAATATAATTAGAGATATAAATATTTATTATGAATATTCATACAAAATCTATATCATCATGTAAAATCTATATAATTATAATTATTTTAAACTCTTTCTTCAGACGATTTGAATTCTATACCTGGGAGTCATCATACGCTATTTATTTATCTGGTAATAATATTGAGAATTCGGTGCTGTGCATTACCATTCATACGCATTTATAAAATAAAAACCTTCCCAATTCATATATAACATATTTTATTCCTGTCTTTAATATGTACATGCGTATAATTACCATGCGTATAATGCACCTATGTTGTACAATTCTGTAGAGTTATTGTACCAGGAAAATATATAAAATATAGCAACTACGATGTCAGACACTTTTGCCACAATTCTGATATTTTGTGATACTTCATGTAGATTACTTGAAACAACACATGGTGCAAAAATTTCGTTATGTTTATATTACAAATGAATAATTAAAATTTTACAACTAAATTCAAGGTTTATTCTAAAAGAAAGTAAATTAGCATTACCCAAGGTGTACTGCGTGGAGGTTGCACGATCGGATTTACACTTCTTGTGTGTGTGTGTGTGTGTGCGTGTGTGTGCGCGCGCGCACACACACGCGCACACACATACACACGCACACACACGCGCGCGCACACACACACACACACACATACACAAGAGGTGTAAATCCGATCGTGCAACCTCCACGCGGTACACCTTGGGTAATGCTAAAGTCGACGGTACTGTAACTTTGAAGCTTCATAACTCGGGATGTACTTAGCAAAAAAATACTTTGTTGTAGTGTTTTGGAAAGCTCTTGAAATACGTTATAAGAATATGCCAAAAAAAGTAGAGCGTTCTATTTGAAAAGTTCAAGGTGACTTTGCCCTGACCTTGTTGACGTTAGCCAAGGTCAAACTGATAAGATCAGTAAATAGATCATTTTAAACCTTACAACTTTCGCCTGAAACATTTTTTCCAAAAACTGATTGTTTTCGAGATATTTTATCGTTCGAAGACTTTTTGAGAACCCTGTATATATGGTTCACAAGTATATTTTATTTCTTCTTTCTGCTGACCTCATAACATAATATGCGGAAACTATTCTTCTGAAGTTTGAACAATTCGACTGCAGGATGATAAAGAAAAAAACGTGAGAGTAGCCTTCTGAAAATCAATTGGAAAGTGCATCACTTGCCGAGCTGTATTATGAGCCAAGTATTATTTTTAAATTGATTGATATTACAAATAAAATATCCGTCATTTAAAATATCGACGCGTATACGATTTAAGTGACGTAGTATTATGTTATGAAAGATGAAAATTTTTATCTAAACATTTGTCACATTTGTAAATTGTATAATAGCAACTTGATATTATGCTGGTATAATCTAGTATTATATTAATGTTAATTAGTAAATTATGTTTAAATTAGTAAATTAATGTTAAATTAGTAAATTATGGTTAAATTAGTAAATTAATGTTAATTAGTTAATTAGTAAATGTTAATTAGTAAAATTTTGCACCAATTTAGATTCAATAATAAGTGTTTATTAATATTAATAAATTTTTAATGGATAATTTAACGTGGAATATTGATCTCCGCGAAAATATCGAAAAAATATTTGATTTATGCATCATTACACATCCAAACATTATTCTTCTGAAATTTAGAGATTATACGTATTAACAGTGGCTATCAAAAACCATGATTTCAAATAATCTCTCAATAAATAATCATGTTTGCAAAATCGTGTTTAATATATCATTAATAGGATGAATTTGTACACTTACACAACACACATACTATTCTGTCAATTATTGCATTAACTGTGCAAAGACCTTTGAGATATCCAATTTTATATAAAATTTAAGAATTTGTTTCAAAGTTAAAATTCAGAATGATTTTATATCTACGATAAAATTGTTACTACAGCATTTATTATAGCACTTACACAGAGAAAATTCATACAGGGAGAATATATTTATTGTTGACATTTTTGAAACTTTAATATATGTGTCAAAGATGTAATGTTAGATAAAAATGTATTATTTGAATATATTAGGTTATTTTGATTACATATATATGTATATTCTCTTAATGTTAAGAATATTAAGAGAGAAAAATTCATTTCGCTTCCTATATAAATTATAAGTTTTATAATATTCTTGACAAGAAAATAAATTTATTTTTCAAATAGACGTGATAACGAGTTTTCTTAAAATTCGTGATAAGTATATTTTAGTTATAAAGGAAACATTCTTTATCAAATATAACCATTATTTAAAAGAAGGAAAGTAAACCGAGCGATCGTTTTTATTAGCAGTAAAGTGATATCTATCTGTATGCGTAAAGGAAATTAGTTTCAATTGAACTACATACTTCCTAAAAATTAAAACAATTTCATCAAATAGAGAGAGAGAGAGAGGGAGAGAGAGAGAGAGAGAGAGAGAGAGAGAGAGAGAGAGAAATTTTCTATATGTACAAATATGTATATATGTAAATCTATGCGGAAAGGAAGAAAACAACAATTCAATAACAGATTTCCCATCAATAATGATGAATGATTATATCATCCTTGAATAACTGCATCTTAGATAGCAGCATTCGGGAGCGAACGAGTTCAAGACCGCTTCGTTCTCACCTCGTACGAACATCAGTGTTCCATATCACAGCGAGCCAGATCAGCAAGCGACCTAGTGCAGCGGGGATATAAGCTATCGTACGAGCGAACGAACAAGCGAGCTTAACGAGAGACACACGTACGCAGCAAGCAGGCTCGGCTCCATTTTCAGTTTTCGATTATTTTTGGCAGCAAGCGGAGCGGGCAGAGCTCTCGTCTAAAAATGCTTACGACCAATGGCGTATCGTCATTGGCCACAATATACCACGTGAACGGTCCACAGTGGAAGTTCACTGAGTCGAGCGAATATCTACGACGGCACAGTCAGCTGCCTAAGGTCCGGTTGGCTAGTCGCAGACAGCAAGTTTCTCCACAAGGTAAGCGCATACTATTACTGCTACAACCCGCTCGTTGCACTCGCCGTTGTATCTCATCTTACTGCGAAAGCATCCTGGAGACAGTATCGAGCACCCTGCATGTTCTCCAGAGATGATGAGAACCTTGAGAACCTTGGATAAGCGAGAAAGGGACGCAAAGAGAAACGGAAAGCTCGCTCGATCTCTTCCTCAAGAATGAGTTGTTGCCCCCGAAAAGCTTCGATGTCCGATTAAGGAGAAGGGTGCAGAAGTTTCCGCCGTTCTACCGAGTGTCAGTGAGACGTGTTTGTACGAGAAGTACTTCTTGGGAATACCTTTCAAGGTCGCGTTGATTTGCGCGCAGGATTTCCGAGACAGTGACGAATTAATAATCGACGAGTGGTCGTTCGATTCGAAAGTGAAACGAAGTTTTGAATGATAGACAAGAGTAGAATGAAGTTTCTTCTTTTTCTCTTTCTCCTTCTTCCTTCCTCCCCTTCTGTTTGGTCTAAATCGAATCTCGCATCGCATCTCATCGAGGTGCAATTTCTCGTCAGACAACTTTTTTTCAAGCGGCTCGCACAGTTTAATGAGCTTTGACGAGTTGTCTACTTTTAGAGCATCGTAACTCGTCTCTTCGCAGACGGTGACATCGGAGATGTTGCGCACGTTCATCTAAGTCCTAATGTGGTAGGACAGGTCTTGGAATAGTTCGAGCGAGAGAAAATCTATACTTAGCGAATGCGATCTTCCGTTACGAATATAAAAGAAAACACCGCGACATGTGTCGTACTCGCCAGCTAATGAATAGAAAGACCGAGAGATCGACATCTCTAGAGTTTCTGGAAGATTTTGACGATCATAGTATGTCCTCTTGCGAAAGATCTATCGCCGATATTAAACAAATAATTACTCCGACGAATCACTCTTTATTAATCCCACCCGCCCGAGAGACAGAGACAGAGAGAGAGAGAGAGAGAGAGAGAGAGAGAGAGAGAGAGAGAGAGAGAGAGAGAGAGAGAGAAAGAGAGAGAGAGAGAGAGAGAGAGGTTGGCTCTTGACATCATATTTCAATTATACAACGTTCATTTTGAATTCCACATTCCAAATGTTCGTGCAAAACACGTCGAGATTTATAGAGATGAGAGGATGAAGAGAAGAATGCAGGAAATACACATATGAAAAATGTATCGCGTAATTCCCGATCTCGCATTTTGCACATTAATTCAATTTATCGACGAGATATTAAAGAAGGAAATGTTACACATTTGTTTCTGTAATTGCCAATTATTACAGACTGATAATTATTATTGTCGTGTGCAGTGAACAGAGGAGTGGAGCGAAAAAATATCCGAAAATTTATGACAACATTTGTGAACAGTAGTATCATAATTGGCACGTCGGGTGTGCCATTTTGCTCGGTATTAATGGCATGCTATTTTACCATTCTCGAACGTTCTGTTACAACGTTGCGCTGCATTTTGCTTGCGACCGTAATGTTTCTAAGTATTTTGGGAATGTCGCTATAGGACAAACGTGATCCATCTTCTCGCGAATGTTTCGGAGACCCAAATGGCGACCATTGATCGACAGCGCAAATTGTTATTTCTCTTTCTCTCTCTCTCCTTTCCTTCGTAAACTGCGAAATCGCGCAATTCCAATATGCGAAAGTTCAAGTCACTTAATTTAAAACTTCGTTAGCCCGTTTACTGCGACGCAAGTGGTATGTAAAGTACTCAAGATAACGTCAAGGATTCATATTGAAGCTAATGATGTTGGAGCATCAGGCCGTCATCGGAGGAGAGCTCCATTTTGTAGAAATATATAACTATATTTTCGTACAAATATAACTGACAGAATTTTCATTGTTTTTATGAATATTATTTATCATAAAGAGAATTTTGTTCTCTAATTCATATTGGAATATATTTTAGCTTTACTATGAGTAATTAGAAGGCCGCCGAAATAATATTAGCATCACAGTCGGAGAGAGTTGCCGCATATCCCTGAATAATGCCGAGTCACGTTAATTTGGTCGGCGGTTTCTCCACTGACGAAATGTTCACGGAAATCCAATTAATAATCGGGGCGTTGCGCGTCTCGTCGATATATGCATGTGACATTTTCTTCCTCCATGGCGACTCCCGGATAAAAATCATGCGACGCACGATGTGCTATGTATAATGTGCATAAAACTTGTGTAATCGGTGATGATGCACTCTTTTCCATTCTTCCTTCCTCCCTCTTGAGTACTAACGCGAAACTTCGTTCATTCGTGGCGATCCTGGCCACAATTTTGATATCGATCCTGCTGAAACCGCTGACGAGAGACTACGAGATATTTACTGAGGTTCGTGTGTGCATCCAAATTTGGATCGCCGGCGTACCCAACATCTCGACGATGGCGAGGAAAGTGGGGACGGCCGGCGTCTATTTTCGCGCGATCAGATATTCTATACCGTGGTCGCGCCTTCTCTCTTTCTCTCTCTCTCTCTCTCTCTCTCTCTCTCTCTCTCTCTCTCTCTCACACACACACACACACACACACATACACACATTTCATCACGTTGAGTAGCTAATACTACATATGTTGGATTCGAGGAAAATCGATCACATTTATCGAGAGACTTGGTTGGGAAACTCAGTGGCAACTCGGCGAGGTGTGCCGGTGAGAGATATTTCCTAGAAACATCCGCTATTATTTCGGTCGCGTGTAACAGACGCGCAACAAACGCGAGCGACGGATGGATGGATGGACGGACGAGACGTGCGAGGTTTTCATTTGCCTATTGACGTCATCTTGTCATTATTTTCGTCCGCTCCGTTTGCGAACGCGTCGCGTGGCAATCTACCGTCGCGGAAACACGAGAGAGTGTTTTCTCTCCTATGATAACGACTAAATATCCATATGCAAAAAAGTTGCGCGCAGCTACCGGCGCAACCTTGTGTCCCGCTTGATGTAGAGTCGTGCGCGCGCGTTTATTGCGCTCACTTGCATGCACGTCTCTATTTTATTTTAACGACCAGGGTTCCGATGGCGCGCGCTATTATTAGCGCGATGCGCCGGCGGGGCTTTTCAGCGACACGCACATAGTATGTTCACATACGTGTCGACGAAAAAAAGAAAAAGAGTTGTCGCATGTATTGTTTTGTCGCATCTTTTCTTCTTCTTCTTTTAGGTAGACGCGTGTAACCACCAGATTTCACCATGGCGGACGATGAGGTTAGGTGTGTATCGAAAGCTGAGGTTTTCCGTATTTCTGTTCTTTCCTCCAAGTTCTTGCGACTTGATCGAGCATTACTGAGGGAATGGGAACGAAAGAAGGACGATCGGCGGAGCGACGACACGACGTGTGGCTCAATCGGCATGCCGAATGCGCCTTAATGCAATATTTTCCTTTTCATATCGCCTCGTTGGCTCTCAACTGATCGCTGATCTTCGCACTTGGACTGAAAACGCTGCAACACGGAATTCATTGGCTCGTGCAGTGAAATTAACGTTATTAAGGTCAAAAGGTATGCATAGTTTGTGCTTATTGTGATTCTATTATCTTGTCGTTAATCTAAGTCTAAATCTAGCATAGTCCTAGAGACGATACATAGTTTATAGACCTTGTCAATAAAAATAGAATAGTAATTCTCTAGAATGTTCCACCGATTTACATGAAAAGTGTATTTGAGACGGACATTGTTATTTCTACATTTACATTCTACAGAATAAATCTAATATCGAGGTTCCTATTTCGTCGCGACTATCTTTACTAATGACGTCAGAAGAAAAAGAAAATGCACATTCAAAGTTTTTGCACAATATTTTGTAACGAATACATGTGTAAATTGACACTCACGATCGATTGAATAGATTCGTAAAATGTTCTTTTTCGATGCTTTGGTGATAAATAAATAGCTAAATAAATAGCGATAAATGGTGACCAATAGATAACTGCAGCATTGACACGGTAAAATCACGGAATTAATAAATAGGTTTTATCGCTATGGTTACGTACTCGCAAAAATTTTAAACGTGTATTTCCTCGTTTCTACGACATTGTAAATCAAGATGACTACGACGAAGAATCAAGAGCTTTAAGAGGATTTCACGCTTTCCGACTCTGTTTCTTTCTCTCGCGGAATTCTATTTGTAACTCGAAGAAATCGTTTCAATTGATAAATATTCTGCGTGTCCCTATTATTTAGTTAAAAAAGGTTCAACGGTTTAATTTTCACAGAAATCGATTGTTCCTCCGAGTGAAATTTTATTTTTTTCCCTCCCTTTCTCATTCTGAACTGTGTGCACTTTGTTACAACATATAACAATATTCAGAGGATTTATATGAAAATATAGCCTCAAATACACATTTTCATGTGAATAAACTATTTCCCCTTAATATTGTATATTTCTGTGTATATACACGTTATCACAAACTTTTACGTGCGAAGCTCCAACCATTGAGGACCTCAAGCAGACCGGGCCTCGTTTTTCCTTCCAAACACAAACAAAAACACATACGCACACACACAATGGCATACACCTACACGGTGACATTTTTATGCAGCTTTAGTAGAGAATGTAGATGGTGGTCAAGGATGAGCCACGCAATTTGTGTTCCCTTGAAAGGATTTATATAGGATGTCCGTTATAGCACATAATAAAGCTTGCATATAGATAGAAAAGTCAAAATGAGTAAAACAATCATCTGCCATTCTTTAAACAATTACATAAAATTTCGAGTTTTCGGATGCTGTGACAACTAATTGCAATGATGCTAGGCAGTCAGTCATTTTTTATGCAATCGTACCATCCCACCTCATCGCGCGCCTTGATTTGATAATATCTTTCCACTAATCTTTTTTCCACCGAAATTTTACGAATTGGTTTTCGAAAAATAGTATAGAATTTTCTTACTCATTTTGATTCGTCCTTGACGCTCAATTGAGAAGCTTCGTCGTGTGCCGTGACGGACACCCTATATATATATATATATATATATAAAATGACGAGGCGATCATAGAAGCTCGTTTTTCGTCACGATTATCTTCTTAGCTTGTTTTTCCTTTTCTTCCTTCACGCGGACGAACATTCCGCGCTACAATTTTCCTTGGATATTCCTTAGTGACCTCATTCGGTGATTCTCTGTCGTCATAATCGTTCCATCTGATATCGCGGTCGAATTATTCGTTTAGCCGCGCATCGAACGGTAATTTTTACACCGAAAACCAAAATCTTCTTTCCCAGGATCGTGTCTCGCTTTCACAACGCGAGAGATCCGAGTTCGTGCTATTTCAGTGACTTTTGCTCAAGTCAACTTTTGTTCACGCGCAAACGATTCATTCTCTTTGAAGCTTTTTATCTCAAAAGGTTATGTCATCATTCTCGCTTTAATGTCCACCTTGTGGACGACAATTCTTCGTTTGCGCGGTAGTTTCCTTCCCGTATAATGAAGCCAATTTGCGAACCGCAAATGTAAAAGTTAATGAAGGTTTTTGGTTGCGCACGCCAGAAGCATATATCCCGCAAATTTTCACCGTAAAATTTTCGCTCTGTAGGAAAAGGAAATGGTACTGGTTGTATTACGACCGACATGCCCGCTATCTCCGTTGTATGCTCCATGGCGAGACTTTTTGCCTGATTTATAGTCACTCGCGTCCTTATTTCAGCATTATTTAACGCCGTCTCCTCCGCGCGACACACTCTCTCTCTCTCTCCCTCTATCTTTCTTTATTCCTCTCTTTCTTCCTTTCTTTATGCGTCTTCTTCTTGACTACTGGAGCGAGCTATTTGTTACTCGCGATATCCTTGGAAGAACGAAATCCTTAGATTTTCAATTACGTTTTCTGAGAAAATTCTTCTCCTTCGAGTTCGATTTTGGTATAATACAGGATGTTTAAAAAAAAGGTTCAGAACTTTAAAGGTAGGCAGTACTTACAAAATGGAGGAATGAAATTCTAATCAACATGAAGGGAAATTAATATTGTTGGAGTTATGAACAATTATTTATATTTTAATTAAAGCAAGTGACTTATTCACTTCTGGTATACGGCCATACATGAAATGCATTTCTGCCATTTGTTGATTAAAATAATACGATGTCATTTTTAGCATATTGTAAAAACATTGTGATAGTTCTCCGCGGATCTGTTCACGAAGATATATGACTAACAGTTGCTTGATAAAGTGTGTGTATAAAAATATATATTTGTTTACATTCCGAACAAGAGTGAAGAGACTTTTATTTAAGAATTCCTTTAAAGCATTGTACTCTCTTTTCACCGATAAATGACAGATAAATTAATCAAAGAACACAAAAGTACCAGAAGCGAGTAAGTCGCTTGCTTTAATTAAAATAAATAATTGTTATAACCCCGACAATATTAATTTTTCGACCCGTTTATCATGAATTTTCTTCTTCATTTTGTGAGTACTATCTTGTCTTAAAGTCCTGAATCCCTTTTTTAAAATACTCTATATATTTCTCCGTTCTATTTTGTAATGTCTTCTTTCCTCTCCATTTCTTTCTCCCTCTAAATCAGTCCTTAATTAGCGCTGTTTTCTTTCAGCGTAATTTATACATACGAGTGTTGGCTTCCACTATGTTATTCGCTATGGCACGACAGAGAAATTTGTTTTCGAGATGTGAGTACGCGTGTTCTTCGCAAAACGAAATTCGTTCATGATGGAAATGACGCGTCTTTATGTCGAAGGATTAGTTAGAAGACTTCCATTTATTAATTGCAAATTGTTTTATAAACACAATTTCGCAGAAAGTTCATTTATTCGGAACGCCGGTCGACAACGGTTGACACAGGAAACGTCTCACTCATAGAAACTCCATATTGCTAATTACAAAGTTTGCACGGTTATGCACATAACACATGCACGTATAGACGTGTTATATGACATTACATTATTTCAAACTTACATCAATGAGTAATTTTACTTTTATTATTTTTTGAATTGCACAAAATGTCAGATGTACAAAAAATATCAGATGTGCACGAAAAACGGATATTCATGTTATCTAAACAATGCATAATAGTATATGTATAACTTTAATATAATTTTAATAGCATATAACGTTTATTCTTGATATTTCCTTTTTATAATAGTCTGTGCCATGGTGAGTTATCACCTTTAAAGTATCCTACGATTTATTCTGCTCCTCCTGTTCTTTCTTCGCTCTCTCTTCTTCTTCTTTTTCTTCTTCCTCTTTCTTTTCAATGGAGGCTAATCGGAGAAGCATCGCAAATAAAATTAAAATTTCGAGAACGCGCGCGCAATGTCATAGACAAACGTAAAACAATCAAACAGACCTGGGGTAAAGTAAACCAAACTGACATGAGGAATGATTTCTTTCCATCCTGTGTGAAACGTGCCTTATTTCGAGCCGCATGCATCTTTAACGCTTGGTGTTTTTCACCGTGTTGTAAATGTTATTAATTAATACATATCTGTGTGGTGTTTTTTATTACACGTCACAGTACAGCTCGCAGCGTGCATTACGCACAGTAGCTTAATTATATATGCATATCAAGTAAACATCTAGAATTTTACAAGTTCAACTAGAATTTCAGCAAAAGGGAAAAAGAAACGTCGTATTTGCATGTGTGCGCGTGCGTATAAAACACACGATACACATCTGTCGTCGCGTGTCGTACGACTTGCGGTCGTAAATTATTAATAATATACGCGAGCAACTTATCAGCGACTACGGCGTTTCTTAAGACCATAATATATCGCGTTGGTTAACCAACGATGTATTTCGTGCACCTGTAAACGCCGTGTCAAAATTCCAAGATGAAGTTCGTAGACTTATATATGACGTCCCATAATTCGCGTCCGTTATTTACATAGTACTATTATTTTTTTGAAAATTTCTCATTTTCTTCTTAGTAGAAACTATTCGAGTCGAGGCTATTCGATAGTTTCCGAAATATAAGCGATAAAAAAAGAGGAACTTTTCGCGAGCTAAGTTTCGGACAATCAATTGGATAACAAAGTTATTTTCTTCGAACAATTTTAAACGGACTTACTTCAACAAACGGAAATACTTCGACAGGGTTATAATATAATACTTAACTTCAAAAATGTGTCATGTGTGGAAAATTGAAATCATTACAAGAATAGTGACCTTCCTCAAACTTTCACTAAAGAAAAATTGTTAAAAATTTTCGTGAAAAATTACTCTGTTTAAATCTATTTAAATAATAGACGTGAATTATAGGATACCTGGTATACATAAACTTCGTATCTTTAGGGAAAGTTTAAAGACAAGATTGAAAGATAGTTATATTTCACAAGCATATATATACATACTGTTTTTTCATATAACTTTCTCTAATAAAAGTTAAGTTAAACAAAGATCGAATGCTTAAATGTAACAAGACATCCTTTTTTGATAAAGTTTTCACTTCCTCTTGTGGAGCGCTCAATTTATATATATGGGGTATTTGGATTAAAGTGTCCAATCGTTCGTATACACACACACACACACACAACACACACACACACACACACGCACGCACGCACGCACGCACCCACACACGCACGCACGCACGCACGCACGCACGCACACACACACACACACACACACACACACACACACACACACACACACACACACACACACACACACACACACACACACACACACACACGCACGCACACACATACACACGCACACAGGTAGAATTTCTTAAATTGAATAGAAAAATCTACCATTTTTAAACTATCTCATTATGAAAATATTAATGAAAGAAAAGTGGCGTATATGTTAGAATGAATTCCGTAGACAATCTGAAAAAAAACATGTCTTGGATTTGTTGACTATTTCCCCTTTAGCATCGGTGGAAACGGAATATCATTGCGAGCAACGAATGGCGCAGTTACACGTATAATCTTGAATTGCACGCTTATATTCATCATTGCTAGGAAGTCAGTAGACCTGTTCTATAATTTTTAAGTTGGAAGCATATGGAAGAACGTGAAACTTAAATAACAAGCAGTCACAATCAGTTATCTTCTTTACAAAAATAATCGACTGCAATTGCCAATTTGCTTAACCTTTATGTTTTACTGTTTACGTTTTTGTATGCGTGTCATGGGCTTTAACGACAATGTCGTTATTATTACATTGTTGTTGCACAGCTTCTCTGTGATATATTATACATGTTTAATATAACGATAATGATTCTATCGTTAAAAATTACAGAATAGTCATTTACATGAAACAAATTCAAAACTTCTAATCGTCATACGGAACTCGCTCCATTTCGCATCGGATTAGTATTAGTTGATTAATTATTTTTTTATTATGATTCTGATTCTTTGCCACGCAACTCCTTGATTGATGAACTCCTTGATTGAACTCCTGATTGATGAAAACAAAAACAAGAAAATATATGTTAAAATTTTTTGCAAAATTCGTTGAAATAAAATGATATATCCGTAAAATAATACTTATAATCGAATTTCGGGTAGATTTTTGCAAAATAGTCCAAATATTTTTGTTGTGTTAACAATGTATTAAATATGATTAAATCAAATAATTTAATCATGAAATTAATATGACATATAACTTATTAGCCTATCTTTCTTTATGATTCTGTCACGTTAATTTTATAGTTATTTTATTTATTGTTATGATAAAAGAAAGATGTTCGAACTATTTTACAAACCTACTTGATAGATTGCAAGATTTATTTGGTAAAAATAACTATTTATATAAAAATTTATACAAATATAACTATTTATTTCAATGGAATTTTCCCTCGGAATTTTCAAGAGTATATTTCCTCTGTCCTTTTCCGATGTCGTAATTCAAGATGGCCGCCTCGAGGAAGTGAGAGCTTTAATATCTAAATAATTACCGCGGTAATTTATAAAATAATGAAGGATTTTCTATTCGGTTTAACGAATTCGACATGCACACGAACATTCGAATATGAATCCAGACTTTATATGAGTCTACAACGTATTTGTACGTAAAATTCACGCATATCACCGCTTTTGTGTACTTTATATCGTGACCGCATCAATATTATTTTTCTTCTTGTTGTCCGTGTTGTCGGTCGATTGTTGAAATTCGCGGCAAGTGAATAAAGTGCAGAGCTAATAGAAGCAAGATCGGCCGAGGAGATGAAGCGTAGAACGTAGACGCATAACATCATAAGTGAAACGAAAGTAGCAGTTTACACGGAACGATATTACAAAGTTATTCGTTGGATGGTTACGCCCCGCTTAAACGAAGGCGAAGTTCTATCACTTAACAGACTTCATTAGCTCCGCATTGTCGTAGTACACGTGAAAACATGGTCGCTACGCTAATGCTTCGTAAAGTATTGCTTAATGGCGAAATCTGAAACACTGAAGGACATAATCTCTTCTTTTGTTTCTTTTATATGCATATATTATATCTCTCTCTCTATCTCTCTTTCATTCTCTCTTTCATCAGTTCTGTTTCTCTGAGAAATATCCTTTTATACAGTCGAAAGGATCGAGCAGTAAAAAGTGTTTCTGGTATCGCGTGCATAAAACTTGGAGACACGAAGCGTACTAACGAGAAATTTCTCTCTCTATCTTTTGCAGAGAAAGCGCATCGAGGATGTACGTAAGAGAGGAAACTAGCTATGAAATGTAGAGTCGCCTCTTAAAGGACGGCCATTTACGGGACGAACGAAAGGAATCCTTTCGTCAAGACGGAGCTTACATTTGCTTTATTACAAAATAAAACCCATGTTAAATATATTCTAAATTAGCGATTTTAATTTCACGAAATCAAAGGCACGAAGATCTTTTGCGATCGACGTTCCTTTTATATGCTTGCTCTATACAGTAGATGATGAAATTCTAATTTGAATTACTTCAATGATTCTGATATTGAACGCGATTAGCTCAATGACTACGTGGGGCTTCAATGTCACAATAGTCCTATTCCATACTCTTGTTGCAATTCTTCCTTTGTAATAATTATTGTAACTTTGTAATAATTATCGGCCGTTCCAATATAAGACTCATTCGAAAGTTTTCGCTCGAGATACAAAGGAACGAAGGCGCGAGGGAAATGTTAAATGAGTTCGAATCGCGCAACACTTTCCAAATTCGCGCAGCACCGTCTTGCAAGGCGCCTGCTGCGAGGCTTTCACAGATGAGATGTTTTAAGGGAGTTTCGCACGAAAAATGTAGGAAAAGAAGAGGAAACAGGCGGAAACCGAGAGGAAGAGGGCGGAGGTCCGCGCTCGCCTCGAAGAGGCTTCTAAAGCCAAGAAAGCGAAGAAGGGTTTCATGACCCCCGACAGGAAGAAGAAGCTTAGGGTAAGTTCACGTACTGCTTTTTGCTTCTTTCTTCTTCTCGAATTTCAACAACTTTTCCTGGAGTCGCGGGATATCCTCTTTAAGACGTTCTACGTTCGTGGTGAGACGCGCGAAACTCTTGTCGTATTTTTATTTGTTCGTTACAAAACACCCACCCGCTCGTTTTAATTTCACACGCCGGATTTCCGAACAGTACATCGAGATTTTCAGAAAAGCCTAAACATTTATCTAAAAATCAATAGTCTTTCTAATCATTCAATGACACCGTTGTATGATGTAAATTTAATAATTAATTCTAAAGAAGAAGGTCTTCAAAATTTGATAAAAAGAGTGGTAAAATTGTATTCAATATTTTCTCAGCAATAATAACGGTAACGGAGTTATTATTTTTTTTTAATGGATAACGAGCAGTGATGACAATCACTCAGTCGATATACTTGCGCTGCAGATCTCGTTTTCCGATTTACGTCATTACTTCGTCGCACGCAATAATCTCTTCTAGCGCCGTCCGGCGTGTTTCCGCAACAATATTGCTGTAATTCTTTCCGCCGTCTTTATATACATCGATTCTTCCGCAAAATATTTCCCGCCCGGCCGCGACCGTTTCTATCACTTTCTCATATCCTCCTTTCGGCCGCGCTGTCTCTCCAATCGTTCTCCGTTTTCCAGCTGCCAAACCGGCCGTATGTGCGCTTTTTCCACGCTTGCCAGATTTTTCCCAACTATATCTCACTTTTTTACCCGTACTTTATGGGCGCATCTTACTATTCCGTTTCTATCGTGATCTGATAGCAGCGTCCCCGTGCATCCCACAAGCTAACCTACGCCCCCCCTCCCCTGCCTACCACTCCTTCCCAACCCACTCACCATGCACCGTCGTGAACATTCGTAGTCGCAGTACATAAAGTTTCCCGTGCACGTATGCAGATTACCTCATCCGAAAATCTTTTCGCGTTTGCCGGCCCAGCGAAATGTTATTTTCCCGTAAATCCGGCTTCCCTTCTGCCGCTGCGTCAATATTTGCGATTCGCTGAATTCCTGCTGACGTTATTTCACTGCTGACCGTGTGAAAAGGTGGAAGGAAAGGAGAGAATGAATAAGTGAGTGAATTATTTCGCTCTGAAATTATTTCGCGATAATAAATCACACACGGAGGTGCTTCTCTTGATTCGAAGATTTTTACTTCTAAATGCCATTTTATATCAATTATTTTATCACCTTTGATGATAAATATTATCTTCCCCATAATGAGATGTACAGTGTAATTCATTTTAAATGTATGCCTATCTAAAATGTCTTGAAAGAAGTGCATTATTCGAAAAAATATTTCAGACACAAGTGTCGACAATATCCAATGAATCTTATTATTTTATTGCCCCACTAAAATCAACGACTTCTGTGTGAAACCATTTTTTCGAATAATTCATTTCTTCCGAAATATTTTAAATGGACCCATTTAAAATGGGTCACCTTGCATGACGCAGCATCAGTAGAAATATTATAGTTCCATTCATTTATGAATAACACGGCATTCAATGTGTTAACACATTTTTTTACTTTCTATTATTTTTTTTTAACAAGTACTTTGCAGTAAGCTCACGTAGCAGACATTAATTTGTCACTATTTCGCTTTCGCGCTAATGAACGATATATCGGATTTAAAATTTTATATTTATATACAAATGCGACGATTCATTAATTTCACATGCGACGCTGTCGAGTCTATTTATTTCGACAAACGTTTTAGTAAATGATTAACCGATCAACCGCGAGTGATCAACAACTTCATATTTATTAAATCGGCCGAGGTTAATCAGGCGGATTAATAATAATCCGCCTGATCGAACGCCGATTTAAATAGTTTAAACCGTTTAGCGGCGGTAGGTTGCCAATGAGCTGAACGAACGAACGCTTTCGCATGTAAAATTACATTTCCATTTAAATTGCGTTAATTCGTCTACACCGGTTAGGATTCGGATTTCCGGCTAGAATTGCGGCTTTTGTCGTGGGAAAAATGAGCGGAGGTCCCTTTTTTCCTCTTTCTCTTTTGGACGAGGTCTCACGAATATCTTGTGTCCCTTTCCAGCTGTTGCTGCGTAAAAAAGCCGCCGAGGAATTGAAAAAAGAGCAGGAGAGGAAAGCAGCCGAAAGGAGGCGCATCATCGAGGAGCGCTGCGGCAAACCGAAGATCGTCGATGACGCTAATGAAGGTAGTTTGTTCTTCTTCTTGACTGTTCACACACAGTCTTCGCGAGCGACATAGACCGTCGAGCACATAGTTTACGTTTCTTATATTCGATTTTATCGTTGATGTTTTCCCGAATCGTGACACTTCAATGTCCGTCCGTACCGTTGGACATTAATCATCCGCATCTCGATATTAATCGCGCTTATTAGAGCGAGGATTATTGCACCGATCGTGAACTCTCGCGAAACATCGATGACATCTCCTGTCTGCTTCGTATGCCGTTCACGAACGATTTGGAGTCATTCTCATAGAGATTGGATATTCAGAAATTCGAATTCTCATCTGCGTAACAATTCTTAATCGGACAGACATACTCGAAACGACTTTATGATTTTACGTCAATTTTACGAATTAATTCTCGAACTTTAAATATTAATGGAGAATCTGTATCACGCTGTATAGATTATTGTCTTGCATTTTAATGCTGTAAATCTTTATATTATATTGCCATTTTTTCTGTGTTGAGGTCAAAGAAGTGCTTATTGAAGAATTATTTAATATTTTGACTATTTCTCCACATTTTATCTGAATTAAATTTTTATTTTTAGCTTTGGCTAATAATGTATTAATTATGTTATTTATTATATTATAGATTGACTATGTGCGATAAATAAGTATTGAGTGATCTAATAACCTTTTTTTTCTAATAAGGATTAATAGATGTAAACAGAATAAATAATAAGTAAATATTAAACACTTTAATTAAGATTAATTGAGAGCAAATGAATATATGAGCAACACATTTTTTTCTTTTATGATTTCTTTGATATCTTTTTCTTGTAATCTAGCCGCAAGCAGACTATTGAGAACTAATTAAATATTAAATAATTTTAGAATAAGTTCTTGAGAGCTCAATAAAACCTGATAAAAGTGAAATAAATTCTAACATCACAAGAAAATATTGTTTATATGATATTGCAGCTTGATATTCTTCATTATTACGTCAAGTTCAAGGGAAACAGCGGGTAGTTTATATAGATAGAACTAAATTTATGTTTATTCAGAGGATTAGCAGTTTCATCGAGTAGTGATGATTAAAGTTCTTGGCTACTCGCCGTGGAATTTTTGATTGACGGCGTTGGAAGTGAGAAAATACACACTTAAAATTTTTGTAAAATACACTTAAATAAAAATATATCCATAAAAATGACATTTGCAATCGATCGAGCAAATCTGTAATATATTCAAACACTTTTTTTTACTGCAATCAATTAATCATTAAATTATCATAATAATAACATACTTACCTTTTTTATCTATTTTTTCTTATGATTTCGTCATGTTAATTTTACGATTATTTATTTGTTAAAAGAAGAATAAGGTGCATTCAGTCTATTTCACTCAATCTGCTTGATCAATTGCAAATGTTGTTTTGTGAATATATATTTTTATTTTAACGCATTTTGTAAGAATTTTGTGAATGTTTCTTCTTGCTTCTAATATCATAAATTAAAATGACCACGACAAGTAATCAGAAGTCTTAACAACAGTGCATAAAATGTTCATCCACTCGCAGGCCGGAAAATGATTCACGCTACCGCACTATCCCTATCATTTTCATCGATTTTTTTGCAGATCGTCGTTTAGATCGATTATCGACTTTTTTGATAATCTCGAGAAAGTACGTGGACGAATGGTATGGTGAAATTACTACGCGATTTTCAAGTTTTGGTTTCTTGTTATATTTATTATATATGTATTCTGAGGAGAAGACTCTTTATTTTATATATATAATATACACATTTCGACATACTCTTCGATCTTTTTGCAAGAAACACAGTAGCACACAACAATATCCGAGACACGCATTTGTGTTTTTATTTTTTACGTTTACATATTCACCTGTGATGATGATGAACCCTACACAGATACCCTAAAGCGCGTGCTGCGCGAATATCACAATAGGATCGCGGCGTTGGAAGACAAAAAATTCGACATCGAATATGTCGTGAAGAAGAAGGACTTCGAGGTATATTTGAGAAAGCCACATTGTTGCGCAAAAACGTTGTATATATGTGTGTATATATATATATATATATATGTATGTATATCAATATGTATATATAAATATATATATATATATATGTACATACACATACATATATGCACAACGTGCAGAATAATATTAATAATAATAATAACGTGGCACTCGCTCGCTCACGACACAGTAACGATGGCTCAATATTGTTGTTGCACTTTTGAGAAACGCGCCGATCTCCGTCCGGCCTGAAAGATACAGAAAGCGATGACGAACGTAGTTAACGTTTTGGTTCTAAAGAGACCGATTCTCTCTGTCATGATATAATCACGAATTATACTATTTTGTGTCAGCTCACGTTTATATTTAGGATAGTACTTCTGTGTGCACACGCATGCTCGATAAAAATAACGTCTATACATACTTATATTGCGTTATGAGCACTATAAAAGAGAATAAGTTGGAACAATTTAGGTTAAACGGAAATTTCTGTTATATATGATGAAATAACTATCTGAATTCTTTCCAGTAAAATTTTAGTGTCCTTTTTGATTCTGTTTCTTGTAAAACAAATTAAAAATTTTGTTCAATGATCATAAAGGCTCACTCAACATGTTATAATATTATTGGTTGGAAGATAGCAGATTTACTTAATAGATTTCCTAAATAGATATCGAATCATTTATATTAAATAATTAGATCAGATATTAATACTTAAAAAAGAATCTGTATTAAATTAATTTAATTTAAACTGATAAGAATCGCACAAGGATGTTAATAACGAATAATAATATTTCACTTTTAATTTTATTTTTAAAATTATTATTCGCTACCAACATTTTTGTTCAGCTCTTTTATTGTTTTAAATTAATTTATAATGATTAAATATCTGAAAGTCTAAGTATAGTTACATCTATGTCATATAACTATATATCTATAACAAGTAACTACGTTTTAACTTTTTACTTTTGATTAAATTTTATCTTACAAAGTTTCATGTCAGGTTGCTGATTTGATTTTTCTAAATTGTAACTGATTGCAATTGTAAAATTATAACAAAAATTGCTAAACTCTGATATTTTATTCCGTTTATTCGACTCTTTCTTTTCTTATCCGACTCTTTCGTCTTTAAATAAAGAGCTTGAAACGACATTTGATACTTTTTATCCATCTTTTTTTTCCTTTTAATGAATGAAAAGAATGAAACGACGCGCAAGAAACGGAACCGATAAACGACGTAAATTAATCGCGCGAACGGTTTTCCAATCGACAAAGTAGCTGTTCCTTCGTCGTCGTTTTATACAATTCGAATGTCACTTATCTCCAATTTCCGCATCTGTGGTGATTTGTAATTTCGGCGTCGTTGTAGCTATTTTCATCGACTGATGGGTCGATAAGTAATCGTTATCGGACAACTTGGCGGAGTGATTAACGGCTCTTTGCGGAAACTTGCTGAAACTTAAATCGTTCGTCGTAGCTTCTGTTATTGTGGCCGGACGAGAGGTGCGAGCTTCGCATATTTCGTCGCACCGTTTTCCGTTCACTCTTTGTCTTTCTTTCTTTTCTTTTTTTTTTGTTTCTTTATCTACGTAACACACAACACTGTCGTCGATTTTCTTGGTTCTGTCCGCACTTGTTTTACTTCGCATTTAACGTGCGCGCGATTTCTCTGACTGTCTTCAATCTTTTTCTCTATTTCTTTCTCTCTCTATCTCTCTTTCTTTTTTTTCTGTTTTCTCTCTTTATTTAATCTTGTCACGAGTCTCTGTCGAATTTGATTGGTGATCTAAGAATTGTTGAACTATTCGCATCTTGATTATTGTGTTAATACGGCTTGTCACTACTCACACTATTTTCACACGAGATACACACATTGTCGAAATAACAGTATAACATCGCCTGTGGATAGGTGTCGAATCACGCTAAATACAAACTGTGTCTTTCAGCGTTATGTGATATCTCTTATCATGTCTGTTATTCGTACGAAAAATGTATTGTCTACTGCGGGGTTGGGAAATGACGTATTATTCGTAAGGCCGTTACTTTTAAAAATTACTTTTTTCCCAGTTTTTTGACCACTTGAGCATAACGTTATTTATTTTGTTGGTAATATTGGTAAGGCAATTATTTCTACATGTATAAGATAACGATAAAAGTATAAAACTTCTATTTAGGGGGAGAGCATCTCTCTTGACCTTGTCTCTTCCATATATTATGAAGATTATTCTCCTGAGTAACACAATTAAAACGTCTTTACCGTCGCTCATTGTTTATTAAAAAGTTGTTAACGAGAAAAGTTTTGTAAATAGACCATCGTTCTCTAACATTTTATACATATATAAAAATTCTATATAAAAGATCGATAAATATATAAAAAGAGAAACAATACATGTATGTGCGCAGGGGAGGGATTCCGCCCCTTCTATCACAAAATCTCTTTCCAAAATTAAACCCAACCCAACCTATATTATTGATTGATAAAACTTAACTTAATTTAGGAAAAGGATATGGAGGCGAAGCCCTTCTCTCGTACATATACGTACTGTTTTACATACACGTTTATTTTTCAACCTTATACTATTTATTTTTTAGTACACGTTGTATATACTGTATATACAGTGTATGATCGAAGAAATCAAAACGGAACAATAAGTTTCATCGTGTACTGGATATTTATATATAACATATGTCGCATATTTACTTCTCAAATGTATACAATGTCGGGAAACAGTATTTATGAAACTTTTTATTAAACTACGAAGCTTTTTAATAAATAGCGAATTACGACTAAGACTATTTGATTGTTATTCAGGAGAATAATTTTTATATATGAAATTTTATATATTTTTATATATGAAAGACAAGATAATAAATGGGAGTTTTATCAATAAAAGTATTTAAAACGTATCTTGAATACTTTTATCGTTGTTTGTATATGCAGAATGAACGTGAACATAAAACAAGTACTTACTTGTAATTGATTATTTACAATAACGTATTTCTTGTTTCTGCTAACTTGAATTTGCGTAGATTTCGGAAAATCAGACTAAATCGCAGTTAGAAAATGTTTTATGTGGGTAAAAATCCATTCTAAATATAAATGTCACATTCAGTCTTGTGATTCTGAATGGCAATATTTTTACTATCGTTTCTAGTGAACTTTCACTTATTTTGAATACAGGATTTACTTTAGAGAATTTAGAAAGTAACAAATTTTAGCTTTTCGCAACGAGTAAAAAGTAACGTTAACGAGTTTTACTTCGAAACAGTAATTTTCCCAACCCCAATCTGTTGCTTGTCACGTTTGCAAAACACCGTGTATCTCTGCGCCCCACACTGCTTCCCAATACTTTCGTGCATTCTGGATTTGCGAATATTTGCGTGTCGTCCGCTTCGTCGTGCCCGGATTCGAAATCGCATCGGATTTCGCGGTCGTATCCGTGCTTTCAAGAATCCACGTTTCGGGCGAGCTCGTTCTCGCCCCGCCGGAAACTCGAGGTGATTCCCGCGCTTCAATGCGAGATAACTCGCGCACTTCGTAACGTTTCAACGTAGTTTTCAGACCAGACTCACTTTTCCAGATTTACTCTCTCATTCCCGCCCTTCACTCTTCCCTCTTCGCTCGCCGAAATCATTTGCGCGGTGAGCGAACGGACTTCGCCACTTTCTGTCCGTCTCATCCGCGAAATTACGATTACATATCTATGTATACTTTTCTTCACATACATTCATACAACTCAATACACGCATACATACGTTACGGTGCCTGCGATACGGTAAGATAAAGACAGCTAATTTGCGTGAACAACGAATTTTTAGAACGCCCCTCGTGTCTGACGTCTGTCAAAAAGAATATGTTTCAAGGTGACTTAAATTTTAACAGCTAGCGTGAAGTCCATTCTGAACCAGTATCATAAGAGGATCAACGGTCTCGAGGGGGAGAAGTACGACCTAGAGTACGAAGTCGCCAGGAAGGATTTGGAGGTCGAAAAACTAAAAGAAAAAGAGAATGTTTTCGTGTCAAACAGAGAGAGAGCGCGATGCTGCGATTAACGCCATCAACCGATATCTTTTTTTATTATTCGATTTCTTCTATTTTTTTATGATTTTTTTCTCTCTCTTTCACGCGTGAAGCATATCTCGCTGTTTCTAGCGACTGTTCCGATTTGCACACTCATACAATAAGCTATCCGTAATAATAATAATTAAGCGTAGACGTCGAAGCTGAGTATTTTTCCTAGCAGCAGCACAACTCTAACGTAGCGATCGTATCCCTGCTTAAAAGGACCCTCGGAATCGGATGAAAGAGACAAAAATCGATCGAAAAATAGATTCACGACAAAAAGTCATGAAGAGACGTAGGGAGACATACACGTTATCGAATACTCGGCTAAGACACGATTACGTAAACGAAGAAAACCACCTCTCGTTTTCTTTTTTTTCCTTTTTTGTATAAACATATGTATGCGAAACGATAATCTATGACGAAATTATACGAGCTTAGTTTGACCATTGATGGAGTAATACTAGAGATCGTCAGCTCTAGATAAATTTTTGCACAACCAAGAGAGATCTGGAGGTAATTGAAGAAAATCGATTTTGTTAAGCAGTTTTGGTCAGCTGATATAAATAGATGGACATTCAGTGTGTAACGAAGAATACATTTTATAATTTATAATTGTCTCGTTGTTTTTATCACTATATGTACAATCTTATAAATGAAGTATATCGAATATTGTTTCGTAAAACTACATCTCTGCAGTCGTCTGCACTAATTCGACACAGTTTATTGAGAGGAGGTTATGAAGTAGCAAAATTTGTTCATCACACTAATTAATCGTGAAGCTAATGGTCTTCGGTATTACTTTATCTTTAATATTATCTAGTCAATGATTTAGTCTATCTGGCCCTCTTGTGTCACCTACTTTAAGCAGGGATCACACTTCACGCAATTGACCGAATGCAATTTAGTATTGTACGTACTTAATCGC